GGCATTGTCCACCATGAGGTGTATTCACCATGCGCATTGTCCACCATGGGCATTGTCCACCATGGGCAGTGTCCACCATGGGGTGTATTCACTATGGGTAGTGTCCACCATGGGCATTGTCCACCATGGGCAGTGTCCACCATGGGGTGTATTCACCATGAGCAGTGTCCACAGCTTGGCTCTCCAACCGGTGTGTTGGAGAGCCAAACTGTGCTCGTGACGAATTGGCCACGTTCTGTTAACGTGACAACCCTTACTGGTGGCGGGTTTTAACGACACATTTATATATTTACGCGATCTAACCCAAAAAAAACCTCTATTATGGATGATATTGGTCGCGAAAGCCTACGTGTTAAACAGAGCTTCATAGCTCAGTGGGCCTTACCTGGTAAAATAAAAAGATTAGTTTAAGCCCAGCGGTTTCCGAGTGATGACAAACCTTCTCTACATTTGGATCCATTTACCTGTCACATCATCATAACTCTGGATCAGTCCACTGCTGGATGAATGTCTCCCCAAACCGTTGGCATCTCTCACGTTGTCACAATACAATCCATCTAGCTCCTGAGCAGGAGTTGTTTTGAGCACTGCGCTCCATCTCCGCAGCAGACGTCATCTCGGACAGACACGCTCCACTTTTCAATACATTACATGTCATCTCTTTCACAAATATACGCAGCGTCAAGGCGAGACGCAATGTGTATTATGCGTCCATTTGTGTCTTATCTAGATGTTTCTAGCGCCTTTTCCCATGCGCATCATGGCAATTATAAAAGTGTACGTATGGTGATGACGGTTTGAGATGAAGTACGGGGTTATTAAAAGTGGTGGTGTAGTTTTAGTCACAGTAGCAGAAGTGTATGTGCATGGCTTTGATTGCTATAAGGGGGAGGGGGGGGGGTCTGGTACTTTTCCAGCCACCTTGACCAGGTCCACCTTGTAAAGTCCACGTCTTACCTGGCAAAATAAAACTCTACTACACGCATGCTGGGTTTGTTTTAAATTATTCATTAACTAAGTGTCTCGACAACATTTATACACGTATAAAGAGAAACCTGGTCAATTTGCATGTTGTTGCCTTATCTTGCCCAAGCTCACTGGAGTTGATTAACCGTTGACTACTGGCGCCTTTGCATTCAGATCGCTTGCGGATGTTTGTCTCGGACCGGGGTCGGCAACCAAAATAACAAGAAGAGACATTTGTTTCGAATTCGTAAAAAAAAAGCAACGCACGTGAATACGAGAAGGTGGTCCTTAATGAATAACGTTAAGAGACAGTCCTTAAAAGAGCCGCAGATTGTTGGCCCACGGTCAAAGGCTGTGCATCAGAACATGTATCTATACTGGGGGAATCCGGTGAGCTATGAAGATCTTTTTCACAGATGTCCAGTTGGGGCGGGTGAGAACGCTACCACAGTGGTTCATATTCTTGGTTCTTTCGGTAAAGTCACGTAGATAGAAAACATAATAAAATATATTTTTTATTGCTATTTTTTTTATCTACGTGACTTTACCGAAAGAATATGAATTCCTGCAGTCGCGAAAGTTTTCAGTCAAAATTGAACCCCAGTGGTCTTCATCGCAAGGCCCGTGGGCCACTGGCGGCCCCTTGGCGGCCTTTAGTGCGGCACCCTGATCGTGCGGTCTCCCGACAACAACGCAAGAGTGGAAACAGCCCACTCACCCTACACCATCACCGTGCTCATGTCAAACCCCAATGGTTTTAAATGTGTGGCGGCCCTCACTGTTGATGTCATATCGGCGAAAATGGCATCCCCCGTCTCTGAAAATGAGTGAAGAACCCTGCTCTACATCGCTGTCAAACCATGCGGTTTACCCCGTATTCTTGTACATGGAAATTGAGCTTTCAAGTCCATACGGCGAACAGCCGTTTCAATACGGGGAAAAACATGTTTCTGTCTATACATGTTTGTGTTTCTCCCTTGTGATGGGACTTTGTAGGATGAACGTTGAGATTTATAAGGGCACGGGGTGAGCAAAAAGGTATCGATTGGTCTGTAATAAGGTAGGCACTGATAAGGGGTTGAAAGGTATGCAATACACTACAAAACTATATACTACTAATGACTACACTATAAACTACACAATTATACATGTAGTGTTGTAAAGATTGATGAATACACTTATTTATGAGGCACACGTTGTTTATTGTCTTTTACTACAGGGTCCCGAGCGTGAAGGGTATATCGGTCCCTTCACTCGCTATGGCCTCCGAACTATACGGGACCTACTCTGGTGAACCGTTCCCTATCGTCCTCCGGCTGGGACCTAGGGGAGGCTAACTGACCCTGACCTCCGGGTCCGTGGGTCCTGACCACTGGCCTCACTGAGCTCCAGCCCTTAGAAGAACTATAGAGTTTGGGGTCCAGGGTCCTATTCTCCAGCCTGGTCTTCAGTCTTCGCCGTGTAGATAACCGAGCCAGAGCTCCCTGAGCTCCGGATTATATACCGGTTCGTGGGTGGCTCTGCCCTGGCCACGCCTTCCTTCTGGAACATTCTCAGGTGACATCATTCCCCCTGTTCCCCCCCCCCCACCTGGGGGCCCGGGGAATATCTCCCAGGATCCGTTTTACTGGAATCCACCGTTGGCCTCTCTGACCCATGGCATGTGCCCCAGCGAGGTAATGCCTCTGCACTCTATTGACGGTAAATGGAACTACAGGCTGTTGAACGATGAGTGACAACACCCTTACATCACTCCTACATACACTACACGACTATACCATACCTGTCAACCCACACGGTTTACCCGTATTCTTGTACAGGGAAATTGAGTTGTCAGGTCCATACGGCGCGCGGCCGTTTCAACGACGGGCAAACAAAAATGACAATTTGTTTGTGTTTCTCCCTTGTGATGGGAATTGGCACTCGAGACGCGCACCTTGACATTTAAATACGTTGGCGCCGCAAGTGAACTCGCCAACCAAGAAGCCTCACCCGTGACTCGCAATGGTTGCTTTACCACTCCGTAGATATTCTTTTACTGGTAGGAACCACCTGGTTCCACCAGCCCACAGGGGATTATTGTGTCCGTCCGTCCGTCTTGCATCCAAAATTGGGAGGGGTCGGGCTGGGTCGAGAGGGGCTGTGTGGGGAGGGGCTGGGTGGGGAGGGTGGGGTGGGGCTGGGTGGGGGGTGGGAGGGGTGGAGCTGGGTGGGGAGGGTAGGGAGGGGCTGGGTGGGGAGGGGCTGGTCACCCCGTGGTGCCCTTATAAAACTCAACGTTTAACCTACTCACGCCGGCTTGTGCCCGCCCTCACAGTCGGGCATATTTGCGGAACTAGAGCTCACGGCTGACATCAGTGGCGATTATCTGAGCCGGTCCTGGGCCTCCACTAGGTCGACTCAGCCTCAAATGAGTACTTAGTGCGGTGTGTGGTAAACATCGCAACTTGGGAGAGACTAAGGCGGCCGGGCGTGGTGTTGGCCACCCACCCCCTCCTGTACCGTGCCGGCCTTTATAGGTGCTCGCTAACAGCACTTGCCCCCACTGTTAATAGGATATACGGGAGATCTTTGTCTTTGTTGTGTATCCCCCCCCTTTTCGCATTCCGTGCACTGTATATATATTTAAAATACGATGTAAAAGCGTCCTGGTATCGTCTACAATTGCTTTTATTCTTACATCAATTACTTCCCAAAGGCAAATTTCCCTCCGGCTCCCACGTGGTGCCATCCAGCGCGATCAATCGCCGGCAGGAACCCGCGTCCGTTTGTGTCGTCACTCACTCACAAATGTCGCGTGACGTCATAACCCAGCACCCCCCCTCTCCTCACCACTCCGGCGTCTCTTGACGTCATCGCCGCCTGTCTTCCACCTAACCCGTATCGCGTGACGTCACCAACCCCTCACCCCCCGCTGCGTTTGGTGACGTCTCTCCCTCTCTTCACCAACGCACCTCAATCTATAGTTTGACGTCATCACCCCCTTGCTCCAACCTACAAATGTCGCGTGACGTCAAACCACTCCCCTCTCGACCTGCTGTCTAGTGACGACATCACCCCCTCCCCTCATCCCAATCGTGCGTGACGTAATCTCCCCTATCTTCTAGGTTTCGTGACGTCATCATGCCCCTCTTCATCATAAAGCCCACGTGTTAATTCTAGATTTGAAGCTTTCGTGACTGCAAGGATTCATATTCTTAGGTTTTTTCGGTAAAGTCACGTAGGTAAAACATCAAAATTATTAAAATAAAATAAACGTCGTGATCTTTATTTTATTTTTATTAATTTTGATGTTTTACCTACGTGACTTTACCGGAAAAAACCTAAGAATATTAATGTGGTTTGTTCGACTATTTGGTGGCCGGGCTAAGGATCTGGTCTAGCAAGTTGTGGTAACTGAGCGAGAGTATTCGTAGTGGCCAGCAGAGGGCAGTGCCAATACATATTCACCGGCCGTGTTGCACCGTTACAAATCATACGCTCACCACTACGTCTAAATCTCCCCCCAACATCACAATCCCCCATACCGACCACCATCGTTGTGAAAATATGCTAAATTCCTATTGATATGCAAATTCCTTTGTCAACGCGCCCAGCTTATATATATGCTCCAAGCTCGTGTGCTGTTTCATTCAGACTCTGTCGCCTCGACGGACCTGGTTTTCACCTGAGGACGGCTGCTTGCGTTGTGGCCGAAACGTCGTGAGAATTATTTTATTGTGTTTTATTTTTATTATTTTATTACTTCCCTTCTACGTGACTTTACCGAAAGAACCAAGAAGATGAATCCCTGCAGTCACGAAAGCTTTAAATCGAAATTCATCGTTGTGAAGTTACGGGAAAGTTGATCAATTTGTGAATGCACAGGGAAGGTCAGTGCCATGTTGTGGCGACAAAACACACATCGACGCCCCAAGTGAGATGTGATGAGGGGGCCAGTGGTTGCGAATGGTTGTGGAGGAGGGCGTCAATACAAACGCGCGTGAGAACCACTGTCAAATACCCATTCAAGTTAAATGAATAAAAACAATATCTCGCGGTCGGATTTTTTTTTATTTCCAGACAGGACACGTTCAAGTGTTCAGTTATGCGCACTTCACATGTTTTGTTTGTAAAGGCCAACAATACTGTTGGCGACAGCACGCAACTTGCATCCATTATGTTAAATAACGCTGAACGGGCTCCAAAACAAGCATCGCAAGTACGATACAGAAATTCGTGTTCGTCCGCTGTCCATTCAATTGCACCACTTTGCTACCTTTCTCCCCCCTCTCACCCCCTTTGCTCGCTCTGTACACAGCGACAGCACCGTTACAACATAACCCACATTTCACACTTGACACCTTACAGCGACTTTCCATTTCAAGTGTTTATCTACAATTACGAGGATTGAGCCAGTGTTTGTTTTTACACGGTCCCAGTTTCATAGCCAACCCCCCCCCCCCCCCCCAATTTAATAATTGTGGTATTTTTTTTAAACTTCAGATTGAGATGTTGCGTTTCACAAGAGCGTGCCGCAAACTCACCCCCGGCCGTTTGATATTCGATTCCAAGGCGGCGTCTTGTGGCTTCTCGGCCAAGTTTTCAAGAAACACCCCCCGCTACCACCCAAGTAAAGTGCGGCCGCCGCACCTCGCGTGAACCCAGCCCAGCACGAGTCTACTTTAAACCACATACATCTCATTCCCATCTTCAAAAGCCACGTGACAGAGAGTCTCTAAAGAAGGCATTCATTTTTTCATGGGAGAATTTGCGGGAGATGTTCTGTACCTTGCATAGCAAAGCATTTTAAAGTACAGTATTGCCACGTCTATTTCACACATCGTCTCAAAACAGAAAAATAACAATTGTTACAAAAATTGTGAATAAAACTAGCGAACAACCTAAGGCTCGTCATGATTACAGCAGGTTTTATTTTAATGTTTGCCAATTGTCTAGTGATTCGATGTCATTGGAATGTTTGTAAGGAAACAAAACACCGTTACCGATTAATCCGTTTTAAAATAACACAAAACAAGAAAAAACCGTTAAGGCCTGCTTAAGAAGGCGGTTTGCGAATTTCATTGTCCCGTAATGACTCATGCATCTCCTGGAATGGTATTGTGGGGTCACGTTGCAAGAAATTGTCTAAAGTTCACCACCTCCCTGGCCTTAACCCTCCCCAACCCAGTCCATTCGAAATAGCTTATGTGAAAAATGTGTCATCGCAACACCGTTCCCACTTGATATTTGCATTACGTGATCAGATTGTTTGTTGTGAACTTTTTCGCAATGATTTAAAAATAAAAACGTAAAAAAACTAATGAGAGACAAGTAATTTCGTACGAGCAGCTGATCACAAAACGGACATTTTTCTGAACAGCTGTTTGGCAACATGAACAGGCGGCGGTGGGAGCAGGGCATTTTCGACAACCACAATGCGGGGACACCGCTTCACAGCAAAAAATTGGTTGTACAGATAAAACTGCATGTGCATACGCTTCATCAGCAGCGAATAGTTTAATCGGAGAGGGCGCGGCGATGATCTCCAGCACTCGTGTGATCCTTCACGTTGGCCGTTGATGGCATCGGCCGCGGTTAAAACTGCCCTTTCGGTGCCGCTATGGCACCAGGTCAAACAGGTCACGCATCGTGGAGCGGAGGCTATTTGCACAGGACGTCGCAGTTTGATGCGCACGCTTTGTCCTTGCAGTGACGTTTTGATTTATGCAAGAACGCCGCACACTGGTGTAGTGTTCGGAACTCCCAGTGCCCCTAACGGCAATTTCCCAAAGCGATTCACATAATTTAGCACAATATTTTAAGCCATTGTAAAGAAACTACGTTAGACGGACACCGATGTTGGTTCAAGCCTCCGGAGCGTGCATTTTAGTCGACTGCATCAGTGTTTTTCAAGAAGCTCCACTCTTCTATTGCAGACTGGGTAATGGAAACGGTCCAGGTTGTCACTCCGACTTTAACAGTTCCAGCAGCGCTCCGACAGCCCCAAAGTAACCCTGTCGGAGAAACAAAGAAACGGTCAAGATTGCATGCTGAAGGTCCTAATTCCATTCGACTAAACCGCGTGACCCTAACGCTGCAGAGTAACTTAGCTGATAACGTATCACATGACGCAAATGAGCTTTGAAGCTATCGCTCCCGCTGTGATAAAATATATAATTTCAACCTCAGTTGCACGCTGCTTCTGCAGCTTTACGAAATGTCGTTCTCCGCCCTGGCTTTACGGGACGGAGGAGCGGCTGATACCTCGTGCTCCAGGAAGAAGGCCTTGAGTTGCCCCCCCGACCAATACTCCATCGCGTGCGCGAGCAGCCGCCGAGACAGCTGGTTCACGCGCAGGAAGTTGCCCACGAAAACGACGCGCTCCATTTTCTGCAGGACGGCAGGAGCAGCGGGACAGAGGAGTCAATGGAGTATTCGGTACGGGTGATGAGAGCCATGCCGGTAATAAATCATGAGAAAAAAGCTCAGGGCAAATTTCGTTTCAGTCGACGCAACCAATATTAGATGCAGGAGAACAACACCAAAGGAAAAACCGGCACATTCCCCGAGCCCGTGCTGTCTGCACTGCCCAAGCTGCAGGCCCCCGACACTTTCCAAGCCCTGTACGATGCTGCTTGACACGCAGGTTTGATACAAGGCAGCACCATAGAGAGGCTGAAAGGAGCGGGGAAGGAAGCAAGTAGCATGGCAGGGGTGACCTGGAAAGAAGCCAGTGGGATTTTTAGAGCGATCCCCACTCCAACCCCAAGAAAACTTCCCCCCCCCCTACCACAGAAGCGGCATTTGTGGGAGATTGAGGACTGTGAGACGGGCACACGGGTAAAACCGAGCGGACGATGCCCACCTCATTGAGGGCGCACATGCGTGCGATGGAGCCGATGTTGTTGGTGATGGTGACGAGTGTGGCCATGGCGAGGTCCTCCTTGCTCACGGCCTCGCGCCTGTCCGAGCAGATCATCTGCCCGAAGCTGCATGCGTCACACAGACACAGCCGGGTTTAAGCTTGGGAAGAATTCACAACAATAATAATTATAACGTCCTTTATTTATCCGACGAGTCACCAAGACTGTCTTTCTTGAGTAGCATACTGCTAAGTTGGGATATGAGGCCCACTTCCATTGATGAGTGTTTATGGATCATGTGGGAGAAAATCGGAATACCCAGAGACACCCAGAGACACCCAGAGACACCCAGAGACACCCCGAGACACCCCGAGACACCCAGAGACACCCCGAGACACCCAGAGACACCCCGAGACACCCAAAGACACCCAGAGACACCCAGAGACACCCCGGCACGCATTCAAGGGGCTAACGCTCAACATTCTGCAACGCACCTGGACGCGACAGCCGAGCCGCGGAGGCCAAAGCGCTCGTAATCGCCGCCGTAGATGTCCCGCACCAGCTTGTCCACGTTGGTGCTGTCTCCCCGCTCGGCGAGTGAAAGCGCCTCGTCAAAGCTATCGCAGCCAGTCAGAAGGCAGCACAGGCCCAGGAATGTACCACCGCCGAGGCTTGAAGGGGGTGGGTGGGGAAAGCGAGCAAGTGGAGAGAAAACGGCCCGTTAGACAATGAAGACAGTCAACTCTCAGTTATCCAGGGTAATTGGATGGGAAGGGTTGCCTGAATAAAACAAATACGGATTAAACATATGCAAATTAGCCTATTAAAAAACGGTATTTACTCATTACTTATGTGGAATGTGTCATCTGTTTTAATTTATTCTTAATCATCTCGGAGTCGCATGCTAGGAGCAGGTAATAATTGAAGTGGCACATTTGTAAAAGCCACAGACACTGATTGGCGTGGAACACCCAGCTCTCTATTTAAAATGTATTAGTTTGAGAATTAAACCCAATTGGAAGGAAATTATTTTTTTCTTGCATAACTATGTGTCTGTGCCGTGAGCACAGTTGGAATGACAAGGGGAAAATAAACAAAAACTATAATTTCATTATATATTGGGCATGACTTCACAAGGGTTCCAAAATTCTTTGCTTGAATAATTTGAAAGTCTACTCATTAACAAGCTTAAAACCTGGTAAACAACTGGACGTAAATAGTTATTTGTAACAGCTATCTGCGTTTTTTGAATTGCCTTTTTCTTTTAACATTGCATAATATGTATTTACTAATTTACAGCCCTTTGTTGATCCACTGCTGCATCAAGTCCTCTCCATGCCAGCAAGAGTACGTTCGTTAATATTGTACAGGACTGGTTCTGAAATTATTTGCCACTCAAGTCCCTGGGACCCGAACGCAGTGTGCTATCATGTATTTGAACAAAAATCCAGATTAACTTTTCTGCTGGACATGAAACACGTTTCTACATTGTACCTTTTGTGGCGAAGTCTGATAGCAATATGGCCCAATACCTCTTCTTTTAAATAATTTCCTTCCAAAGGAATCATAAAATTTAATGCCACACCACGTTACTAAATCTCCTTTGGGTGATGTATTGTTAGCTTCACTAGCATGTTGATTAATCTCCTGCATTCATCTCCGAGATGGAACCAGTCTTGCTAGAGTCTTAAATTAGAGGACTCCCACTTCACATCAGATATCCACATCTCTGTTTGACGACCCAGCTTGCCTTGAACTAGGACTCAATTCCGTCTATCACTTGCGATATCTGATGCAGGGGGCGAGCTAAGCTAATCATAACATTTCTACTGCGTCAAACTAAACACAGCCTATGTGGGGCAAAGGGCGAGGCACGGCAGCTTGATTGTGCACAAGCTGTGGAACACAATTCACCACACTCAAGTTACCCAACTCCAGACATCGAGCACAAGCAAGCACACACAAGCCACCCAACTCCAGACATCGAGCACAAGCAAGCACACACAAGCCACCCAACTCCAGACATCGAGCACAAGCAAGCACACTCAAGTTACCCAACTCCAGACATCGAGCACAAGCAAGCACACACAAGCCACCCAACTCCAGACATCGAGCACAAGCAAGCACACACAAGCCACCCAACTCCAGACATCGAGCACAAGCAAGCACACACAAGCCACCCAACTCCAGACATCGAGCACAAGCAAGCACACTCAAGTTACCCAACTCCAGACATCGAGCACAAGCAAGCACACACAAGCCACCCAACTCCAGACATCGAGCACAAGCAAGCACACACAAGCCACCCAACTCCAGACATCGAGCACAAGCAAGCACACTCAAGTTACCCAACTCCAGACATCGAGCACAAGCAAGCACACACAAGCCACCCAACTCCAGACATCGAGCACAAGCAAGCACACACAAGCCACCCAACTCCAGACACCGAGCACAAGCAAGCACACACAAGCCACCCAACTCCAGACATCGAGCACAAGCAAGCACACTCAAGTTACCCAACTCCAGACATCGAGCACAAGCAAGCACACACAAGCCACCCAACTCCAGACATCGAGCACAAGCAAGCACACACAAGCCACCCAACTCCAGACACCGAGCACAAGCAAGCACACACAAGCCACCCAACTCCAGACACCGAGCGCAAGCAAGCACACACAAGCCAATGCGCACAATCCGGCGCTCTCGGAAAAAGAGACCTATCGATTTCTGCACGCGTGCTTTGCACGTCGGCACGGTCTGCTGCGCACACCTGGTGCCCGTGACGCGGCGGTAGTCGTGCGGTGAGTAGACGGCCAGCATGCTGACGCCCGAGCCGATGTTGACGAGCAGCAGCGGGTATCGGCTGCCCAGCGTGCATGGCCTCTTGCTGCAGTGCTCCGCCTCCATGGGCTGCTCGTAGTAATAGCACTCGGGCCGCTCCAGGCCCAGCGACTCGACGTACATGAGGCCCTGGATCAAGCACTCCAGCTCGTCTAGCTTGTGCAGTTGCAGGTGGACCATCTGCAGGGGACATGAGGGTGGAGCAGCAAGTGCATTGGCGGCGGTGGGAATTTACCGTCGTGTCGATTAAAAACGGTTTTCTAAAGCTCGCGATACATTAATCAACTTGCACGTTTGAGAACTGATTATTTACACTGCATGGCAATTCCATATGAATTATATGTTTACAGTAATACTTAAGAAAACAGAGTGGGTACAACTGTAAAAACGAGACAGGTTAATGGAAATACAGAAACAAGATGGTACAAAATGAGAGAAAGGACAACATTCTTGAAGCAAACCATAACCATGAATCCTGACAATGTATTAATGCCCCTGGGGAAAGAGAAACGTTACATTCCTTGTCAGTGGCAGCACTGCGAGTGCACAGGTCACACATATGACCATAGGGGATTGGTGCGGAACGAGGCATGTACACTTGCGTTGCTAAAGTGAGTGTTGCATTTTCACAAACATCGCATCTGCTGATGTTCACAGTGAAACAATGTATCATTCAAGGCACACCCTGGCAGTTATTGCTTCCATTTAAGTAACACAACAAAATTACGGAAGCGTGTTTTACATTAATTACACTTAACATATCGGAAGCCCACTTCAATTCATATTATTACTAGCGATATAGATTGGATACAAAGACGACCGCAAACTTTATCATTTCTACGACCAAAAATAATTCGGTTACTGAAGAAGCCACCAGCACGCAGTACAACCAGAAAACAAATCAGAGCCAAACAAATGACAAGTACGAGGGTGAACGTATGATCAGATCGGTGCACCCGTACGCAGAGCTCCTGGTGGCCGTACCTTCAGGAAATCCTCCTCAAACTTGTGCGCGCCTCCGCCGGTGGCGCACAGGGTGGTCTGCAGGCCGGAGAAGCCCTTCTCGCGGCCCATGGACAGGAAGGCGGGCACGTCGGCCGTGGGGAAGCGGATGAAGTGCATGGTGCCCGTGCGGCCGCAGAGCGAGAGGCCACGCAGTTCCAAGTGGGCATCGCGCACCCCGGCCGTGCCGTAGGCGACGCGCGACGTCAGGTATCGCCGGATGCTCTTTAGGCTCTCCACCTCCGCCTCCTCCTCCTCGGCGCTGACGTCTGTCGGCTCGAAGTACACCAGCTTCACCAGCGTGCCACCGATGTCCAGCCCGAACCAGGGAAACGCTGTGGGCGACGCGGAGATCAGGACCCGACGCAACGTGGTTTTATATATCGCGTCCGAGTGAAGACCCCATCTCAAGATGCTGCACAGAAAAAAGGTGGTATGTTTTGTGGATAGAGGCAGTTGGTCATAGGCAGAGGATACAAGGAAGGGGTTGGGCCTGGGCTTTGACGGCCACTGGCCATGAGATTATCATGGCCAGCGCTGGTGGTGCCACTACACCTCCACATCACGCCCTCCCCCTTATGTCAGATTCTGCAGTTGTAGCACAAGATGACTGATCTCCATGGCCTATTATTAACCATGTGGCTTCAGGTGTTTTGATACCTAGATAGCCACCCTGGACACCGCTGACATTCAAAACACCTGACAAAAGCTTGCTTACGTGAGAAGCTTTATGTGCTTTACTTTTGAGTTTGGGAACACCCCCACGCTTTTCAAACGCTGCTAAGTTTGGTTTCTTCATCACCGACTGCGGAGATTCTAAAGAACAGAGCCCTTTTTGTTTGCGCCAATAAGAGGTATCCATGGTTTCTGAATAACAAGTGTCTCGCTTTGCTCGTCACTCAGTGTTGATAAATTCATACATTCATGAGGTATAAATTACATTATTTCGTCAGCTACAAAGTATCGGGTATTGGTGACAAAGCAATGTGCAAACTTGTTTTTTTTTGTCGATTTGTTTAACTTGGTTCAACCCCTAAAAACACACACACAAGCACCATATAAGTGTGCCGTACTTTGGACTGTTATTACTACTTGCTGTTAAAACACCAAGAGGCAAAATAGCACGCGTTTTTTTGGACCCCAGTGCTTCACGACATCAACTCCTGAACTTTGGTCTAAAAATCTGATCAAAGAACAGCACCTGGGAACTTTGGCACGCCCGTGTGGCCAAAAGGCGTGCTGCTGAGCTGGCTTTCAGAACCGCATATTCCTGCTCCTCCTGATGAGCTGGTACGGCAGGAGGGATGTCCCAAATGTCCTAACTCCACAGCCTTCACCACCAGCTGGAGGCAGCGATGGCACCCGTTTCACATCGTGGTCATTATTGTCGGAGAGTTATCCATCCTGCGTTAAAGCCATTTGTTTTTAATTGATGGGCCCCAGCCTGTCACAGCCTTCCAGAGAGGAGATCTGCAGCACTGTCCGGATCTTTCCTTCCAACCCTCACAATGCCACAGGCTGTGACAGCGTACAAGTTTTAAATGCTCGCCGTGACCGATGATGTTGGTCAGATCTGTCGTGTCCATGTGGACCATTTGCATCCAACTGGCCAATAAAGTGGGAATCACCATCATTATCATCATCATCGTCAGTCAACCCATGCTTACAAATTTCCCAATTGAATGCAAGTTTCCCCGTACTCGCTGTGGTGTGTTACGCGGTGTGTTACCATTGGCTTGATAGTACAAACGCTTCTTCTGCCTTGCCCAATACAAGTCAACATTGGCACGAGCCAAGGAAACCACTACGCTCTGTCAGACGCTGCCAACAACGACATTGGGGCCCCCTTAATATTTTATTCTTGAGAATGTTTAAAGAGACGCACGGATATCTTCTTCTCGGCTATTTACAATCACCTGTCATACCTGAAAAACCTGATATCTCTCTCTCTCTCGTCTCCTCTCTCTCGCTCCAATGTTTTGCATCACCACAAATGCCGACGAGAAGGCAGCAGTAAATGATTAACTGCGTTTCATACTTTGTCCGCAATGACAACCTACCTCTCGTTTTATCTCACCACCAACCGAACCTTCTGCGTGGCATCTGAACTCAGGAAGTTGTATTTTGTGTGTCCATCGCCAAGAAGCAACTCAATTCGCGAGTTATGCAGAGTTACATTGTACTACTAAAGTTCACGGGTTATAAACAGGCGGTACACTCAGACGAACGAACGCTTAAATGTCAACTCCTCAACAACCATTATGTTGACGTTATTGTGTGTCCCCCTATGTTACCGTCTATACATCAAACACTATACACGGTGCACTTCAGTCGCGGGTCACTTCAGCAAATGGCACCAAAGACATTTCTTAAGAGTGGTTCCTGCCCCTTTTTATTTTATGCATCGCTTAAAGCGGTAACGTTTTAAACCTCCATAGAACAAACTATGCCTCTGTAGTATTTGAGGCATGTTATACCCTCCTTCCTGGAAATATGTAATCCCGCACATGTACCGTGCCGGTAGCAGGCAAATCTGGCCGGCAAAACATGGCTTTTCAAAGTCTTGTATAAAGTGGCTGGATATAAATAAAATCAACATTTTTATACTTTTCACCAAATATCGAAAGGTTTCAGGCAATTGGTTCACATTCGTTTCATCAAATGTGAAATCCTCGCTTCCAAGCTCCCAAAATGTCAGAACCCTCAAACCTGTAACCTTCACATTTGACAAGATTTCTAATGAATTGTCTCTAAACCCCAGACACACAGTGCCTCGACTCTGCAAACATTAAAACTCGTGCAGCTCACCTGGCTTTTTGGCGTCCGCGTCGTTCGCTGTGGCAATCTTCATGGCTTGAGGGCCTTACGATTTCTTCCAAATGGGTGCAAGGAAGGCGAAACAATTCTTTGTGCTGGGGTGGGTGGTGGGGGTCTTTTTTTTCTTCCGATTAAGTTAAATAAATACCTACTCAATAATTGATAAATGCCACGCTACGGAATGATGGATGGGTCATTAGTAGCAACAGTAGCAGCAGCAGCACATGTTGTGTGTGGCCACCCAATGTAACCCAGGGGGGGTAGTCGTCTTAACCTACAGACAGCTCTAGGATTTCTAAATGGTGATGATTCTTTATATTACGAACGATTCTAATTAGTGTTATTGTTTAACGCAATCAATCTTCTTGTCGGCGTGCAATAATGGAATATTCAACGTCCGCTTCCGTTCACCACCTTATTCTTATTCTTCTGCAGCTGCTTGTGACGGCCCTTGTCATATGAGGGCTGCTGCCGGTGTCGCTCAGCTGTTATCTTCCACTGCTGCACTTGCTTTGGCACGCTGGATACTGTGCGTGGCAGTGTGGAGTTTGGTGGTGGTGATGATGGTGATGAGATGATCGGCGGCAGCCCGGATCATCCACGGGGCGTCCCGGTGTGAATAACGCGAGATGCTCCTTACAGATGCGTGCCTGTGTGTGTGTGGGGAGGCAATGCGTGTCTGTGTCTACAAGATGATGTGTGTAGAGATGTTGTGTATCTGCGAGGATAATGCGTCTCTTCCGTATGCGTGTTATCTCTCTGTCTGACGTGTGAATGTATGAACCTGTGTATCAATATACAGTATACGTGTACTGTGCGTGGTATGTACGTGTGTCCGAGTGTACGCTTGTCGTCACGGAGCGTGTGTCGTGTACGTATTCCCCGTTGCGTGATGTATGTACCCGTGTCTGTATGTGGTGGAGGTGTAGATGTGTGTGAGTGCGTGCGAGGAGCGACAGCTACTGCCTCGCGCGCTGCCGTCGCGGGCGTTCTGCCACTACCCGGAGGATAACCAGCCCCCCCCTAGCCCCCCACCGCGTCTCCCCTCGTAGCCACGCCCACGCCACCGTCCAACAACCAATCGCGAGAAGCGACCGGCGTCTCGCGCTCAGCTGCCGGCCAATAGCGCGCGGGCTCCTTGGTCAGGCGCTCCTGGCACGAGGGGGGGGGGGGGGGTCTCTTTTCAATGGGCGTGGCCGCGCGGGAGTGGGTGTGGTCAAGAAGGTGGGGGTAGCACGATGTGGGCGTGGCCTTATCAGAATATTAAATCCGATGAGCTATGAAGCTCTTACGAGTTCATATTCTTGGTTCTTTCGGTAAAGTCACGTGGAAGGGAAATAATAAAATAATATAAATATAAAACAATAAAAAAAACTCTCGCGACGTTTCGACTGCAACACAAGCAGTCATCGTCAGGTGTGAAATCCTCTTACGAGTTGTAGCGCGTTTTTTTGTTGGTTGACACAGGACCTGCAATTTCACAGATGCCCGGGCGAAGGCGCGCGCATGCGCCTGGGGCCGCGTGGGCGTGGCACGAGCAGGTGTGGGCGGTGGGGGGGGGTCGCGTGACGTCACTGGCGTGTGATTTATTTTTCCAACGCTCCACGTGACAGCTGGCAGGCGTGGACCGGGCTGTGATTGACGTCCTCTCGATGAGCAGGGCGAGACCAAACCATTGCATATTGAGTCACATTATTATTATGATTGAAAAAGGGCACAATAAGCCTACGTCAACCGGACGACGACGATGACAAATCAGGATAAAAAAAAATTAAACACGATTACACCATTTGTTGCTTTGGGCTGACTTATAACAAGTAACCACATTCATGGCCAGCTATTGCCACTCGAGATAACGCCACAATACTGTACTGATAAGAGCAGCACTGTACAACCACGTGGGAAGAGGCGGGTTGAGGGGATGGTGCCATATAGACGGAGTCACGTGTTCCTTGGGGTGGTGACGCGGTGGCGGGGGGGGGGGAAGCCCGTCACCACGTGACCCGCGAGCGAAGCGTTCCTATTGGTCAGAGCTCGGGGTGGGGCAGGAACCGCGCCACTCCGGCGTGACCACGTGCGCGGGGGGGGGGGGTGTGGAGGGGGGCAGCCAGCTGATCGGGTGCCGATGATGGGAGCACTATGGGGGATTGTAGACTGAAGTCTGGGTTCGATTGTGATGTTGGCGATGTTTGGGACATTCATGAGTTAGTACGGTGATGTTGGTGATGATTGGACATTCTTGAGTTAGTGCGGTGATGTTGGTGATGATTGGACATTCTTGAGTTAGTAGGGGATGTTGGTGATGATTGGGACAATGCTGAGTTAGTAGGGGATGTTGGTGATGATTGGGACACTTGATTTAGTATGGGGATGTTGGTGATGATTGTGACACTGATGAGTTAGTGCGGTGATGTTGGTGATGATTGGGGCATTCATGAGTTAGTACGGTGATGTTAGTGATGATTGGGACAATGATGAGTTAGTGCGGTGATGTTGGTGATGATTGGACATTCATGAGTTAGTGCGGTGATGTTAGTGATGATTGGGACAATGATGAGTTAGTGCGGTGATGTTGGTGATGATTGGGGCATTCATGAGTTAGTACGGTGATGTTAGTGATGATTGGGACAATGATGAGTTAGTGCGGTGATGTTGGTGATGATTGGACATTCATGAGTTAGTGCGGTGATGTTAGTGATGATTGGGACAATGATGAGTTAGTGCGGTGATGTTGGTGATGATTGGGGCATTCATGAGTTAGTACGGTGATGTTAGTGATGATTGGGACAATGATGAGTTAGTGCGGTGATGTTGGTGATGATTGGGACATTAATGAGTTAGTGCGGTGATGTTGGTGATGATTGGACATTCATGAGTTAGTGCGGTGATGTTGGTGATGATTGGGACATTAATGAGTTAGTACGGTGATGTTGGTGATGATTGGGACATTAATGAGTTAGTGCGGTGATGTTGGTGATGATTGGACATTCATGAGTTAGTGCGGTGATGTTGGCGATGATTGGGACAATCTTGAGTTAGTGCGGTGATGTTGGTGATGATTGGGACATTAATGAGTTAGTGCGGTGATGTTGGTGATGATTGGGACATTAATGAGTTAGTGCGGTGATGTTGGTGATGATTGGGACATTAATGAGTTAGTGCGGTGATGTTGGTGATGATTGGGACAATCATGAGTTAGTGTGGTGATGTTGGTGATGATTGGGACATTAATGAGTTAGTGTGGTGATGTTGGTGATGATTGGAACACTTTTGAGTTAGTACAGACAACGATGTTGGTGACGATTGTGGTAATGGGAGAACATGGAGGATTGATTACGGATTAATGTTTGGGGTGGATAGTGACGGTGGTTATGTATGTTGAACTTAATTTGCCCATCCCTTTCAACCCACATGGTTTACCCGTATTCTTGTACAGGGAAATTAAGTTTTCAGGTCCATATGTCGTACAGCCTTTTCAATACGGGTAAAAAAATGGTCTATTTGTGTTTCTCCCTTGTGATGGAACTTTGTTGGATCAACATTGAGATTTATCAGGGCACAGGGTGACCATTAAAGTCTGAATTGGTCTATAATAAGGTAGGCACTGATAAGGGGTTGACTGGTATGTTAGTCAATCATGCTAATCGGAGCACATTGAGTTAATAGAAACTGATATCTGGGGTAGAATATGCTGGTGGTGATGGTAGCATATGGGGATAGAGGGGGGTTTAAGGTTGTGATGCCTGGGTTGGATGGTGGTGATAGGTGGATGGTGAGAGGGTGTGTTTTAGTTTTTCTGTTACATTTTCTGAGCAAAGACCCAGAACCTAACAGCACTATTAAAACTTGTAATGAATAGGAGTTGATTCCTTTCTTGAATTAAGAAAGGTCATAAGGGTTTTGAGAGAAAAAAAAAAGGCGATGAGAAATAATCTCAAAGTGGAGCAGCATGACGGGAGAAGCAGATCGAGAATGTTTTAAACGAATTTGTGGGAGTTGAACGCAGTATGGCTGAGACTAAACAGTCTGGTGATGGTGGTGGTGATGATGATGCGAACACGTGGGGTACAAGGCAGTGTGGAGGTGGTTACTCCGGGCACGTTAGGCTCGCATCTCATTGGCATGGGTGGGTTGACGCATGCCTTTTTCGTTTGTTCCTGCAATCGTTGTAACTGTATCCACACCATGTCCTTTCGGCTTAGATGCAACACAGCAGCGGGGGACCCAAGTTCACGAATTAAAATTCCAGCCGGGGTCGACAGAGTCAGAGCATCGTTGGCATCCGTCATGGCTATTACCCTAAATCCTATTTCCACCCAGTCTCGTAAAAATCTTGTAAGCTAAGCAGTGTTGAGCCTGGTTAGTACTCGGGATGGGTGACCACCAGGGCTTGCCAGGTGTAATTGGTGTGGAGCTGCGAGGTATGTGGTCGGTGGTGGTCCTAGTGCTGAGCTATTACCTCCTCGTATAACGTGTGGTGGATTTTCTCATGGGTTCTCCGTTTTCCTCCCACATGAAGCCAAACGCTCAGTCACCGAACTGACCGAGCATCCCAATGCAGCAGCACCCTCCTGACAAAAAAAGTCTTGGAAAACTGGATGAGGCTTTCCTGTAATTGGTAATGTAATAAATAAATTGCATTACGCTTATCACAATTATTACCGTCTGGGGGTCAGGGAAATTGAACACCTAATTCACTACGTTGGTGACACTGGCGGCAAGCATGGTCCCCACCGTTGCTGATATATGATAGGACAGATTTTGGTGACGGATTGGGGAGGCCTTCATCCAGCAGTAGATGTATCATGGTCGACGATGATGGATTCTGCCAGGTCATGCGTATTTTGATCCGCTGGCATATGGTCACACTTTACCGGTGGATAGAGAATGGCCTGGTGGCTATTTGTAGTCGTGGCAGGGACACGGTTTTTCTTTGTGTCGTAGCCAGGTGGGTGAGGGAGGCTCGGTTATTGGATTGGGAGGGGGTTCTCTAGGTCAATGGATGAACTGGTTTAATAATTATCCAGACACATTTGCATCGCAACATTGCACCACAGTGGCTTGCACGTGGGCTTTAAATAAAAAAACGCACTCATCCCTTAATTGTGCCGACTGTGAGGCACCCGCCTGGCTGCTGTATGGCAAAACCTTGAAACTTTGGTCATGGGAATGAAGCATATTTCACCACGCTTGTCAGAGCGGGCAGGTGAAGTAGTCGGCGCTCAGAACCAGTTCACTTATCATCGCTGACCTTGGATGTGGCTGGGAAGCCCAGGTCGCCAGGTTTGTCACGCAGTGCGCTGACCATTGCACCACCGCTTCAGCATGAAACTTTAACGGGGCGGGGAGGGCAATAACTGGTTTGGGTATCCGACAGCAGCTAGTCCCTGCAGCCACGAGCCCCTTGTGCACAGAGAAGGGTTTGTCACGAGAGGTACACATTGTACCGTGTGAGGCTAAAAAGGAATTTCACACAGCTTGGGTTGTACCTGGTTGACTTTTAAGTGGGCTAATTTTTGCTCAGGACAGGTTTCATGTGGCTGATGCCTAGGACATTCAGTGTCTTCTCTGTCATTGCTACGGAGTCTGATGACTTTTTCTTTGAAACTGCCTCCGATTAACTATTTTAGGCCAATGACTTATCATATTGTGAAAAAGGGGTGGGTTACTGATCTTCATTACTGTGCTTTAATTGTCACTTTGATTACCCAGGTCACTTGCAAATGAGTCTATTCTAGTTTCTGAAGTTGTCACCTGGTTAAATAAAATAGGCTTGATACTTTTTCACCAAATTATTACAACCTGGCTCAATAAACTTTCGAAATGGTTACGACGAGAATTGGCCAAATATCTAAATGTAGCAGGATCATAATTAAACAAGTACTTACGTTTCAGATAAGCTTTCCAGGTAAAGCTTTCCAGGTGAACAAGTGGTTATGAAAACAAGAAGAATAATTGAAGCATTAGAATATGTGTGTTGTTTTGAATGT